TTTATTAAGGGTGCTCTTCGTTTCTGTTGTGTCATTTCGTTTATAGAAGTGTGATAAAAATTAGTTATATATGATTCGGAAGAGGAAAAAAAGCTATCTTTTAGTAAAGAAAGTTTTGTTCTAGCACTCTTTCGTTGAAGAGAAATTGGGGGTCGACATTTGTGCCATTACTTTTGCATCATATGTTATTGTTATTAGATTTATATAAAGTTTTTCAACAAGTATTTTCTTCAGTTAATACATTTATTTGATAATGGGAATCAATTAATTGATTACGCAAATGAAGTAATGTATTTGATATAACATCCATATTTGTCTCTATATTCAGCATAATTTCTTCATAATCTATAAAAAAAAATAGGCTGCGATTAAAATAATTTTTGAATAGTGTTCGTTTACCTTTTTGTGAATTTTTCATATTAGACAAAAGTTTATTTTGTAAAGCAATTTCGTCTTCAAGCTTGGCCATGCTATGTGACGTAACCATTTTTCCTAATTGTCAATTTTCTTCAAGTAATTTTTTACATCAAACCATTAGCATTTTACCAATTTTACTAAACAAACAATGATTCATATAAATATTAATTTACATTTGTATTTACTTGTTTGATGTAAATTCAAATGCTTGTAATTAATTATGTGCATCATCATGTGCTTTAAGATTTTGATCAGTTTTATCTCACATTTGGCCAAAAATAAGATTCATTGATGAATCTAAATATGTTTGTCGTAAACGAAATAATAGTAGTGCTTGCATCATATCACACATTTGTTCCTTGAAACACAAAGACAAATTCCAGTCAATATTTTATTTTTAATGCATCTACTATATGATTGTTGCTGTGTAGTTTTTGTTACAAAACGATAGTTTATCATAGATTTTAATTTTTTACATTCCATTTCTTTTTCACGTAACGAGATTCTAGGTAATTAATATATATATTTTATTCTTTTCAACGTTCTACGAGACGTGGTCGTGATACTTTTTCAATCCAATTATCACTTTCAATTTGAACATGTTCTGACGAATTTCTTGGTGCTATAGTATTTGAATTAACTAGACTATTAGTTATGTTCATTGGAGAAAACGGCGAATATCAATCGAGATCAATTGTGTTCGATAATGACAATCAGAAACAATGAGATAATTAATTATGAGATTTCTTAATATTAGTAATACAATAATGATACATATACTTCAAGTGGATAATTGACAAAATTAATTAAAATGTGATCCATCAATGCAACTCGGTTCTACCAAGGACATCAAAACTGATCTAGAAATAATCATAAAACAAAAAAAAAATTTTTTTTTTGCTCATTCCATTTTTCGTGCAAGAATCTAGACAAATAACATTCTTTTTTCAACAAAAAGTAATAAATAATTGTCGTGCGATTGATTAGATATTTTTCCGACAAATAATAGAATTTTTTCTCCTAAATTATATTAATCTACAAAAAAAGATGTCACTATTGAGCGATAAACGAGTCTACATAAGTATTTAATGAACGAAAAGTAACACAGAAAAATTGCTGAGTTTTCACATGTGATACAAAAAATTGAAAAAGATAAATGCAATACTATTCCAACAACAAGACTGAAAGAATGGAAAAAGAGACAGAAATAATATTATATGTACGATAATATCATCAAATCTATGTTGGAGGGCGTTGTCCTTTTATTGTTTTAACATCTTTGCATTTTATTGCACTGTTTTTGCAATATAAAACGATTGATTATGATTATATTTAGTGAGAAATATTGATATTTTCGTCGATGAAGGCCTGAATATTTTACAGGTTGTCCAGCTAAAATGAATTATGCTTGGTGAAAGTTGAACAGAAGGTTTCTCGAACAAGAGACAACCGAACTTATTTATTCAAAAATTGTTTAGATGTTTTCGTATATTGTCTACTGATGGATGTCATTTATTTTGAATAACAATGATAATAAATGGTAGTCGTGAGATAAAATGAAGCATTTTTTGTGCAAAAGTGATGAAAACAGAGTTTTATTGTCTTTTATCATATTTCGAACACTGCTTTATCACTTAAAAAGCTGTTAGAGTAATCTCTATGGGATTAAAATATGAGACACGATATAACCGTTGTTGCCAATCACAAGAAAATTGTTTTATTTGATTTATTGTGCAATGCATTTCTTCGTGATCCTTTACTTAATCCTTCAGAACCGCAATAAGCAAGCAATTCATATATTCTAATGAGATGTTAGTGATATATGGTCTTTGATTGTATACCAACAACGTCTGTCACGGTCTCTGAGAGCGACACGTAGGTGTAAATTTTTACCCTATATACTTCAACACTCTTTTTCGACCGTGTTTCACAGAAAATAGAAACAACAGTAGTATGGTTAAAGTTTGAACTACAGTTTGATATCAGTGGATCACTTGGTATCGTTGTCAAAGTTGGGAAAATATGCTTTTTTAAATTGTAAAAAAAAGAATGATGAGTGCGTTACTACGTATTGAATTTCATATCCAATATTTTACATATTATCAGATTTTTGAGAGATTATATTTTCAGGATCTTGCTGAAATTTATTGATCATATTAAGATCACACTAGGTTTACCTTCTTCTGTAAGTTTAGTAATATCAAACTAGAGAAAACATGGACAATTTTTTTATCAAAACCTTAGACTATCAGTACTTTTGGTTTTATTTCATAAGAAAGCAATAGATTTACTACAAATGGAGATGAAGATCTTCAATTAAATGATAATAGCGAAGGTTTTTTTGTGCACCTAGTACAGATTAAGAGCATTCGCTCCTCACAGTTAATAATTGAGCAGTCGGGATCATAAAATTTAAAGTAAACATCTGTTGGATTGTCAATTTTGCTAATTGTTTAGCTGGTTATGTCAAGTTGTATAAACCAATGCTTAATAATATTTTGGAATTGTCGAGCAGTCAACCGATTGTGAATAAAAGAAAACATATTTATGAAAAAGCGACGATCGATCAGAGTGATTCCTATTCGATTAATATGAGTATAATGCTCTGTTTTCTTATGAAAAGATATTCATGAACGGAATAAAGACATATCTTATGGTTGAGTATGACCAGTTGATACTTCGGGAAAAATTAGTAGCTCACTGTCTCAATTTGGAAATACTGCTCTAAATTTTTTAGACCAGTCTGAGTTGTTCAATAATCAAGAAAAAGAAGGAGTTTTCTATCACTCAAAAGGCGTAGAACTACATTTAAAAAGGTGCAATGCTTTTCCTCACTCCTTTTTCCAGATTTGGAAATTCTTAATACGATATTTGGCGGTACAATTTAATCTTTTTTGCGCTTTCTCACCGAGTTCAGTTTTTTTTCTTGTAAAATCAGTAAGAATCTTTCTAATAATTGACCAGCAGCTGATGTTATAGACTGTACTGCATAAGAGTGCGTTACATTATTTTTCTTTTTAACTGCAACTTCTGTTGTTCTTTAACTCGTGAAGAACAGTTCTTGGAGAAATGTATTCTCGTTGAAATGAACGATGATCACTGTTCAAAATTTATCAGAAGAGTAACTCGAAATCAAAGATCTCCGATTTTCGACTCAATTTTGGGTATCTAAAAAACATAGATATACAGTACTCGTCAGAAGTTCCCGGATATGTGAAACCCAAGGTAAAGTTGAACTATTTTTCACCAAATTTTTACCAGAGATAGAGCTCGAAAAACTGTGATCGTGAGCACCAATCCGACCTCGATTGACTAAAATAGGATTTGAGTTATAAATCAAACACTACTAACAACTTGGTTGAATTCAGCCTTAATTCTCACAAGATTTCTTGACTTGATTCATCCATCATTCTTACGTTCACTGCTAGCTACATTGTCGACATAGGTTCAGAGTTCAAATAAAGCCTTTTGACGCCATGCAGATTTTCTATAAAACCTCTGTCGGCGATGTAGCTAGCAGTGAACTTGAGAATGATGAATGAATCAAGACAAAAAATCTTGTGAGAATTAAGGCTGAATCCAATCAAGTTGTTAGTAGTGTTTGGTTTATAACTCAATTCCTATTTTAGTTAATCAAGCTTGAGTTGCTGCTTGCGATCACAATTTGGGTGTGGGTGTGCGGTGTAGAGGTGGGTGAGGTGTGAGTGGGATGTGGGATGTGGGTATGTATATTCTAGGCATCCACACCCACACCCATACCCACACCAATATCCACACCTATACCTACACCCACCCAAACCCACACCCTTGGTATTAATGAACTTACAGAAGAAGCTGAATTTACTATTATCTTAATGTGATCTATAAATTTCAAGAAGATTCTGAAAATATACTTGCTCGAAGATCTGGTGGTTATGTAAAATATTGGATATGAATAGTTCTTATCTTATTATGTTCCAATACCAAAGCTCTGAATATCTCGATCCATGCTCGCTGTGAGGCACGTAACCTTTAAAATTTGTTAGCTTCGCGATGAATAATAATTTTATTCGAACATGGTCAATCTTCTTGGATTACACTGCAAAAAGTTCTATTCCTAGGACAGATTCAATAATTCCATCGTAATCAAGAAAGACTTGATAGTTTCGCACAGAACCAAAAGTTTCTTCCTTTGAGCACAGGTTCACTGCGAAGCCTGCTGTTTTTAAAGTGTGCTGGTTTGCCAATTAGAAATTGTTTTGCAGCATTTTAAGAAGTTTTATTGAGTTTGCATCTCTCTTATACTGTTAGAGAAAGCGCTTTCTTATCCATTGGTGACATGAGTTTTATCATTTGGATCACATAGTGGCATAATTGAATAAGGGAGATCATAGTGGTCAAAAGTGCACAATTAGGCGAAAGAATATCAAAAAGAGAAACACTCTGGTAGTATTCTGTTCAATTCGTGATTTCAATTAAGAAAATGCCAGTCGACAATAACAAGAACAATGCTGAGGCTTTTCAATTTTTTAATAACCGCAATAATATTGTGTTATTTGAATTCTTTCAAGATGTCTTATTCTTTCATTTGCGATTGAGTCACGAATTCGTGTTGAACAGTGTTTGACTCGCTTTGTACTTTAGAATTCTCTTTCATCTTGGCAGATATATAAAAGAAAAGACCAAAAAGCGTAAGTAATAAACCAAAAATTTGTTTCAAATTTAGTCTATCATGGAAGATGAGATATCCTCCAGCCAAAATAGATACTGTTTTTAAATGTCCAGCCATGCCATACGTTAGTGGTGATCTAAGTATAACAAACATGATGGAATGAAAGGCTGAAGACTTATTTTCCGTTGTATAGGATCAGGTACCTTATAAGAATTCCACAGTCTATATTTCTCCTGTTTAAGGAGGAAAAAACTGAAGAGTATCTAACAGATTTGGTAGGTGTCGTCAAGTGCATCTCTTTTGCACTGCGATGCAGTCAAAGTGTCGAACGCTCATACTAATTTTCACACTAACGAGACACAGTGTAGATGGCATATTGATGTTAGATGCAGTATCACAGAGTATACTGACCGATTAATAATACAATCGTGAACAAGAACTCCGCAGCTATGGGAAAACCATCCATGTAGGAGTTATTTACATTGAAACCTAGTACAACTTGAGTCTGACGAATCCTGATCGCACCCAACAAGTCGAGCTCTATTCCTTTTGTTGAGGTTGAAATCGGAAGTCAACATCAAGGATTTTTTCATGTTGAATATTTCTAGCTGCAAATGAAATCTTGAGGCGTCCAACCCACCGTTTAAAAGCCTGAGTCTTCTTCTGTTTTCAGAAAATTCCCATTGCAAACGGGCATTACTTCGCGAAACTATATTTCAACTCCTATCTGCCCACCAAACTGATATATCATAAGCCGTCTAGAGTGCGCTTCGAATAGCAAACTAGGTTCAACATTTTGCTTGAAAATTCAACCACAGAATACTGTACTATATCCCAATGTGCCCTGCAATTTTCAGGATCGTAGCTTTTGAAACAATAGAAATTCACATCAATCTATAGCTGACGACCAACATCCCTTGGCAATCACTAATTTATATCAGATCAGACTGGTGTGTGGGAGAGTGTGGGTGTGGATGTTGGTATAGGTGCCGGTGTGGGTATGAATGTGGT